GACACGTGGCACTTTTTAAACTGGTCCATGGCAGTGAAAACACTGAATGACGCACCTCATGTGCGTGGTAACAACCCAGACGAGGGAATGGGTCAAAATGGCCCATTTACAATGATATTAAATAGTTCTATGGGGGTGATAGGACAATTTGAAAGTTAAGGTGTCTTTATACAAATACGGGACAACTTTAATTGTGTCTTTATGTCTTTACTCAAAGTGAAAATAATAATAATAATTGTTCTACACTCCAATCTCCTTAAGACTACAATTCTAAATAGTATTTATAGTTTTCACAGATTGTGCTACGGAGGATTGTTTGGCGACATTAGTCGAGATCACCGATGAACTCGGCGATCCGCCCTTTGATCAGCTCATCGCCTTCAGTGTCTTGCCTTTAGCATCCTCGCATTCTGGATCATTGGGAGGTACAACATTACTTCGCGGAACTTATCGGCAACTCACCGACTGCTCCTTTCCTCGCCTTTTGATCCACTTTCTTCAAGGCTTCGCGTGTTGGAATGAAGGGCAGTTCATGTCGTTTCAGCGACTCGCCAAGTTAAACTCGGTGATCCGCATGATTCCATTTCTTGTTCTTTTCAGCCTTATTTTCTCCATTTGGTGCCTAAGTGTCCATGCTTTCACTAAAACTTCAAATACCTAAAACTTCAGCATTTTAATCAGGTATTGAGATAAAACAAGCATTCAAGGACACTATTTCCATTAAAATAAAGCCTTAAATGAGTCCAATTTGTGGACTCATCAATACCCCGAACTTAGACTTTTGCTTGTCCTCAAGTAAACTCAAGTTCAGCCATTCAAAAGGGTGCCTCAAACAGTGCTACACAAGGCTAAATCATGAATGCACACAACAAGACTCAATTTACTTATGCAAGGATCAAATGCATACTCAAAGATTCAAATTGTGACACACCATCAACAAAGATTCTCATGCTCGCAATACTTGCTACTTGTGCAAGTTCATGCTTAACAAAAGTATCTAAATGCCCTCACGTATAGAATGATTCCATATTCACACACAAATGTAGAGTCAATTTAAGATCAAGATTAGATACAATGCTCACACTACAAAAAGAGGAACACAATGCATGTTTTCATCCATAGGTTTGCCCTTATTTTCCAATTGACTTTCGATCCAACTTGCTCAAGATCAAAGAGGTCAATCTTTGAAAACACACAAGAGACATTCAATTCATCAAGCATATCATCTAACCTAGGAATAGGATGACGATACTTTATCATAATTTTGTTAATGGCTCGGCAGTCAACACACATGCACCATGTTCCATCTTTCTTTGGAACCAATAGAGCCGGCACGACACATGGACTCATGCTCTTCTTCACAAAACCTTTGTTGAGAAGTTCCTCAACTTTCCTTTGCAGCTACTTGGTGTCCTCCGGATTGCTTCTATATGCCGTATTCAATAGCCAATAGTCAACAAGTAGAGTAGTTACGAGTTAAAAATCATTTTAGGATTCTTGACAATGATCTAGAAACAAAAGAAAAGAAACTAGAATTAGGACCTGAGAAGAAAGGGTCATAACATGAGCTACCGATCGCCAAATGTACTATTTTCTTCATCTAACATGAAGTTTAGCTTGCCAACTTGAAGATTGACTCACCAAACTCTATAAATGGATAAGGAAACTCGGCGATCTAGGTGGAAGTTCAAAAATGCACTGAATGGCTTCGGTGACCAAGGCTGTGCTCGCGGAATTTTCCAGTAGCACCACCAAAATGAGGCCAACTCGGTGACCTAGCTGCCCAAAGGGTGAGGCACCGAGTGGACTAGGCGAGCTAATTCGGGGCTCATCTAATGTTCCGCGTCTGCAATTGTACAACTCCGAAATTGGACCTGTTGTAGTCCCCCCCCCCTTTCTTTGTCCTTTAGTTTTTACCCTTTTAGGTAAATTCCTTTTGTACAAACACCTTTATACCTTCTCTTTCTTCCTTTTTATAATCAAACTCTTTTTCTTTTGAAGATTCCTTCCTTGAAGATTTGAATGTTCTTCAAGAACTTCAAGAACAACAGTGAAGACCCAAAATAAAACCCTTTATATTTTTAGCTTGGAATTTCATGAAATTCGAGATACAAGCTCTCCTAGATATAGGGAACAAACCCCAATACTTTTTAGCATTTAATTCCTTGCCAAATATTCCAGATCTCAAAACCCACTTTATCTTCTTAAAAACTTCTTCAACCTACAATGGTGGATTCTTCAATAGTGATCCAAACCCTTTAAAATCTCAGACCTAGACTCAAATAAGGTTAGGGAACACTAATCCAACCTTGTAAACTTCAAATAAGACAAAAATCATCAAACCCATTTCAACAATTTTGACAAAAAACATTTTGAACGTTTTTTTTGTTTTCGTAACAAACCCAACACTAGAATCATAGGAACGAATATTATCTAAGCTCTGATACCAAATGATACGATTCTCACAAGAAGAATCACAAAAATAGTGGAAATAAAAAATACAAGAAATAAAGGATAAATAGATAGACACAAAAAGAGGAAACAAAAGGCAACCTAAGGGTATATTAAACCCAAATACCTCAATTCATTAATCCAACAAGAAGCACCTAACTCTTACGACGACCTCGAGGGAATCAATATCCCAAGCAACCGACGTTTCTAAGCAAGAATCAACAAAAGCTTATACCAAGCTTTCAAACACTCCCATCAGGAGTTCAGGTTTATAACCACAATATTCAAACAAGTCTCCCTAAAATGAAACTCTAAAGGCCTATTTATAGTTTTAGGTATTATTACATAGATGGCCCCAAAAGTGACCCAAAATGGTCAATAGGCGAGCTAAGTCGGGATCGCCCATCCCTCTTGGTGATCCGCCCAATGGGTTCGATGAGGGAGCTTATGTGTTTCCTCCTTCCAGCCTCTTCTAGAACTTTGGGCGGTCTGAGAGAGGCATTGGGTGATGCGCCAATGGGCCTCTAGTCCATTGGGTGATGCACCGATGGGCCTCCAGTCCATTTCGCGATGGATTCATATCTTGCCAACTCCCTGTAACTTTGGGCGGTCTGGGAGTCCTCGCCCAAGGCATTGGGCGATGCGCCAATGGGCCTCCTGCTCGCCCAAGTGCCAGTGTTGGCCATTCTCTTCCGTTCACTTACCCAAGCGATCTTCCACGCATGTGAACCTTTGTTTGCCACTATTACAAGCCCACAAACTCCCATTCTTGTGAACAACTCTTCAACACATTGGAATTCCCAAGCTTGGCAGTGAGTAAAAGTCCTTGAGGCAATCCATATTGCATCATATGGTTTACATTTTGGGGCTTAGGGTTTAGGGTTTGGTGTTTGGACTTGTAGTTAAGGGTAATGGGTTAAGGGTTTAGGGTTTAAAATTGAGTTTAGGGTTTAAGGTTTAGGGTTTAGGGTTTAGGGTCTAGGGTTTAAGGTTTAGGCTTTAAGGTATAGGGTTTAGTGTTTGGGGTATAGGGTTTAGGATTTGGGGTTTAGGTTTTAGGGTTTAGGAATTAGGGTTTAGGGTTTAGGGATTAGGGCTTAGGGTTAAGGGTTTTGGGTTTTTGCTTAAGTGTTTAGGGTTTAGGGCTTGGGGTTTGGGGCTTGGGGTTTGGGGCTTGGGTTTGGGGTATAAGGTTTTAGGCTTTAAGGTTTGTTGTTTAGGTTTAGGGTTTAGGGTTTAGGGTTTTAGGGCTTAGGGTTTAGGGTTTAGGGTTTGGGGTATGTGGTTTAGGGTTGAGGGTGTAGGGTTTAGGGTTTGGGGTTTGGGGTAAAAGGTTTAGGGTATAGAGTTTATGGTTTATGGTTTAGGGATTAATGTTTAGGGGGTAAATGGTTTAGGGTTTCAAATTTTGAGTTTAGGGTTTAGGATTTCAAGTTTTAAGTTTAGGGTTTAGAGTTTAGGGTTTAGGGTTTAGGATTTAGGGTTTAGGGTTTAGGATTTTAGGTTTTGGGTTTAGGGTGTAGGGTTTATGGTTTGCGGTTTAGGGTTTGGGTTTGGGGTTAAGGGTATTGGGTCAAGGGCTTAAGGTTTAGAGTTTAGAGTTTAGAGTTTAGGGTATAGGGTTTAGGGTTTGGGTTTGGTGTTTAGGGTTTAGGGTTTTGTATTTTGAATTTAGGGTTTAGGGTTTATGATGTAGGTTTATAGTTTAAGGTTTAGGGTTTAGGGTTTGGTGTTTGGGTTTAAGGTTAAGGGCTTAGTGTTTAGAGTTTTTGGTTTAGGGTTTAGGGTTTAAGGTTCAGGGTTTAGGATTTAGGGTTTAGGGTTTTGAATTTTTGCTTAAGGGTTTAGGCTTTAGGGTTTGGGGTTTAGGGTTTAGGGTTTAGGGTTTAGGGCTTTGGATTTAGTGTTAAGGGTTTTAGATTTTTTTCTTAAGGGTTTATAATTTAGGATTGGGGTTTATAGGGTTTAGGGTTTAGGGTTTAGGGTTTAGGGTTTTGGGTTTTGGGTTTAGGGTTTGGGGTATGTGATTTATGGTTTAGTGTATGGGATCAAGGGTTTGGGGTTTAGGGTTTAGAGGTTGGAGTTTTAGGTTTCGGGTTTGGTATTTAGGATTTAGGGTTTAAGGATTTGGGTATAGGGTTTATGGTTTTTTTGTTTAGGGTTTAGGGTTTTTGGTTAAGTGTTTAGGGTTTAATATTTAGAGTAAGGGTTTAGGGTTTTGAGTTTTGAGTTTAGGGTTTAGGGTTTTAGATTTAAGTTTTAGAGTTTAAGAGTTAAGGATTAGGGGTTAGGGTTTTGGGTTTTGAGTTTAGAGTTTGGGGTTTAGGGTTTAGGGTTAGGGTCTAGGGTTTAGTGTTTAGGGTTTATGATTAAGGGTTTAGGATTTGGGTTTTTTGGTTAAAGTTTAGGTTTTAGAGTTTAAGGTTTAGGGTTTAGGGTTTGGGGTATGGGATATAGGTTAAGGGTTTAGGGTTTGGGGTTTGTAGTTTAGTGTTTAGGATTTGGGGTTTAGTGTTAAGGATTTAGTGTTTAGTGTTTAGGGTTTAAGGTTTAGAGTTTAAGGTTTAGAGTTTAAGGTTTGGGGTTTAGGGTTTAGGGTTAAGAGTATCATGGTTAGGGTTTAGGGTTTAGGGGTTAGGATATAGGGTTTAGGATTTAGGGTTTAGAGTTTAGGGTTTAGTGTTTAGGGAATAGGGTATAGGATTTAGGGTAAGTGTTTAAGGTTTAGGGTTTGGGGCTAAGGGTATCAGGTTTAGGTTTTAGGGTTTAGGGGTTAGGGATTAGGGTTTAGGGTTTAGGTTGTAGGATTTAGGGATTAAAAAATCTTCTAAATGTCCATATTCAGTTCTTCTTCTTCTTCTTCTAAACTCATTTTTCGTCCATTCTTTTACTATTTTATAACTAATTAACATAATGAATTACTTGTTTACTAGTTTTAATAATCAAATTATCCAATCAAAGTCTTACAAGAGATGAACTTCTTTGTAGCTTAATTTTTTTGATGTGTTCAAATTCACTTCTTCTTCTTCCAAACTTATTTTTTTTATTCCTCAATTATTTAAATTTTAGTTAACATCTTTATTTAATTTTTAGCTAGTTTCTTATCTGCAAATCAGTTCGTTGATCCTTCAAATTAAGTAACATCATGTAATTCTTCTACTTTTGTTACTTAGTTTGTTTTGAGTCCTAATCTTTTAGTACTTGTCTCATCATAGTTTGTTGATAACCTTCTTGATTCATGTCCATTAGCTTTTTTTCAGGTCATCGTTCTTCAAGAGTCAAAAGAATCCACTCCATCACAAAGAATACGTTACCTTGAGTTGGTTGGCAAAGCTAGTTCACTGTCAATTTTTAGACGACGCCATAGAAGAGTGATGTGAATAATTTTTCTACTGACTTGTTTGTTTAGATTTATAGGTCCGAGGGAGGGATCATTTTCACTTTTCTATCTAGATTGATGTTCTATGAGCACACATGAGTTGTTTGATTCAATACAAGGAAATATTGTAAAGGTTATTCAATTAGTCACTTAGATGACACCCGATGAATTAGAAAGACTATTGAAGAGCACTACTTGTCGTGATGAAGAACTTAAGGAGTTGGACAACTAAGGTGAAGAAACTTCATGTTTTGAGCTACAAGGTAACAATTCTTATTCTTGCACTTCCTTAAGCTTGGAAATTCATTGTGTGGCTAGTAGCCAATTGAGTATAAGTGATAGCTTGGTTTCATGTGAGCTTAACGATTCTCTGCCACATAGTGATAATGTATTTGTTGAGAGTGTTTAGAGTTTAGGTATTAAAGTTTTTTCCAAGTGTCCAAATTCATTTCTTCTTCTGAACTCTTTTATTTCAGCCTCAAAATTTGGCTAAGTATGGGAATGTTTTGGGTTTAAAAATTTTTCTCTATGTCCAAATTCAATTCATCTTCTTCAAAACTCAATGTTCGTCCATTCCTTAACTATTTTATAACTAATTAACATCATTAATTACTTGTTAACTAATTTTAATCATCAAATTATCTAATCAAAGTCTTACAAGAAATGAACTTCTTTGAGGCTTAAATTTTTTGTAAGTGTCCAAATTCACTTCTTCTTATTCCACTCTTATTTTTCTTTATTCCTCAACAATTTAACTTTTAATTAACATCTTTAATTACTTTTTAAGTAGTTTCTAATCATCAAATTAGTTCGTTTATCCTTCAAATTAAGTAACAACACGTAATTCCTCTACTTTTGTTACTTAGTTTTATTTTAGTCCGAATCTTTTTGTACTTCTCTCATCTTAGTTTGTTGATAACCTTCTTGATTCAAGTCCATTAGCTTTTTTTCGGGTAATCCTTCTTCAAGAGTCAAAAGAATCCGCTCCATCACAAAGAATAGGTGACCTTGAGTTGGTTGGCAAAGCTAGTTCAATATCAATTTTGTGGCTAGCAGCCAATTGAGTATACGTGATAGCTTGGTTTCATGTGAGCTTAACGATTCTCTGCCAGATAGTGGTAATGTATTTGGTGAGAGTGTCCATTCACTAGTTTATCCTATTGATGACCGAGTAGATTCTTCTTGTATAATTAATTTGTGTCCACCTAGTGTTGAATCTTGTAGCTTGAGTTACATTAAATTGTCATGTAGTTATTTTCCATGTTTTTATAATGTACATATTGAGAATGTGGATACAATAGTTGAGGGTTGAGGGTTTAGGGTTTATGGTTAGGGTTCCATGTTTAGGGTTTAGGGTTTATAGTTTAAGATTTAGAGTTTAGGGTTTAGGGTTTAGAGTTTAGGGTGTAGGGTTTAGGGTTTAGGAGTTAACATTTAGGGCTTAACATTTAGGGTTTAGGGTTTAGAGTTTAGGGTTTAGGGTTTAGGGTTTAGAGTTTAGGATTTAGGGTCTAGGGATTAGGGTTTAGGGTTTATGGTTTAGGGTTTATGGTTTATGTTTTAGGTTTTATGGTTTAGAGTTTTGGGCTTAGGGTATAGGGTTTATGGTTTATGGTTTAGGGTTTAGGGTTTCGTCTTTAGGGGTTAGGGTTTTGGGTTTCAAATTTTGAGTTTAGGGTTTAGGGTTTCAGATTTAGTGTAACAGCCCGTATTATGCGTATGCTTGTTCTATTGTTGTGATACTTGACATAGCCTTATAGTATAGGTGAGGGACCATGTTTCTTATATGATTAGCGTTGGTTTAAACTAGCTCGGAAGGTGAGGTGATGCCTTGCGGTGCATCACCTACTTTGACTTATTGACCAGTCCAAAGAACCAAGTAGGTGCATCACTTACTTGAGCTATATGCATCAAGTTAATAGGGCCAAGGTTTATGGATCAGAATAGGGCCTATACTAATGGACTCACTTGAGGCCTAAATTAAGTGAAATAAAAGGAAAATGAAATTAAAGCCCAGCAACCAAATCTGCCAAGGCCCAATATATTTAAGCCCAAGTGAAAGCAAGTAGGTGTATCACCTAGTTTGACCTTTTGAGCTGCTTGAACTACATAAGCAGGTGCATCACTTACTTGACCAATTAGTGGCTGAAAATGGACCAAAAAAGGGAGGTTCTAGAGGATTATTTTAATGGTCAAGAAGGCTCGATATAAACCCAATATGAGCTGATCTTTTCACTCATTTTAACACACAAAATTCACAATTTACTTTAGCTATATCTCTCTTTTCTCTCAAGAGCAGCCAAAAATTCCTTCTGGGGTTCTTGAAGAAATCCTTATATCTGCAAACCAAGGTAAGAGAAACACTTATGGATTTCGCTTAATTTTCCCATGAAAGACTAGAAAACATGTTATTCATGCTTAATTACAAGTACAAGGAAGAAGTTCCCACAAGCTACTACTAACTTTCCTTAATTATTAAGATATTTTTGTCTTCTTCTTTGGTTTAAGTGTGTAGGGAAGTTGTAGTTGTAGAGGAATTCAAGTTATAAGGAGAAGTTGTAGAAATTGAGGTAAGGTGACTGTTCCATTTTCTTCCTCCTTATCTATGAGTTTGAGTCAGGAATTATGGGTGTGCTGTCATAATGAACTCAAGGGGCTGGTGAGTTCAATTAGTGGTTGTATGATAAAGAATATGTAAGGCTCTTTTATGTGTATTGTTGTTGGTGCAGTTTGGGTAATCTTGGAAAAGGATATATAATGAATGTATTGGGAAGAGAAGGAGGGTGTGGTGATACACATTGTTTTAAGGGTTGTATGGGCTCATTATCCGTCAAGTTAGCTACTGTTTTACGAGGCTCATGGTGTGATAGCTACTACTTTAAGTTTATCATGACTTATTTTGTAGATTAAAACCTAAAAGGGGAGGCTGAATCGTGATAGTTTTATTGGTCAGAGGATAAGGTACAAGGCTATTCGATTCAAAATTCATCGGCTTGAAATTTGATACTTGCAATTAATATCAATAAGTGAATTTCCTATGTTCTATTCCTAGTAAAGGAAACATAGTGGCAACGTACGATCTCCAAATAGGTAACAATATTTCCCCCTCTCCTTACAGTATAAAATTACTTCATTATATGTTCACTACTCTATACTTGTGTAATTATCCTCATATGTGCTGGTATAGAAATGGTATTTGCAAACGCAAATTTGGTGAATCCTCCTCTTAGTCAGTTGAAGTCAATTGTGTCATTTAACTCACAAGTAATGCATTGATGTTACATAGCTCCTTATGTCATTGTTACTGCCTTGAGAATGATACATATGTCATCTAGTGAGAATGAAAAATATAGATGCGGAGCCACCAACTCTTCAATCCATTTTGGTAGTGAATAAGTTTCCTGATGTATTTCCTGAAGATCTTCCAGGTTTGCCTCCAGAACGAGAAATTGAGTTTGGTATTGATGTGATTCCAGATACTCAACCTATCTCCATTACTCCGTATAGAATCACCCTGGCAGAATTACGGGAGTTGAAGAGCAATTAAAAGACTTATTACAAAAAGGATTCATAAGGCCTAGTATGTCCCCGTGGGGAGCACTAGTTTTATTTGTAAGCAAGAAAGATGGCTCATTAAGAATGTGTATCAATTACCAAAAGTTCAATAAAGTAATGATTAAGAACAAATAACCCCTCCCTAGAATTGATGATTTGTTTGATCAGTTACAAGGTGCTAGGTGTTTTTCAAAGATTGACCCGAGGTCGGGTTATCACCAAGTGAGGGTCAATGACAAAGGTATACCCAAGACAGCTTTTCGAACACGGTATGGTCATTTTGAGTTTTTAGTCATGCATTCGGGCTAAAAAATGCACCAGCAACTTTTATGGATTTGATTAATAGGGTGCTTAAACCATTTTTAGATATGTTCGTGATAGTATTCATATATGACATTTTGGTGTATTCAAGATCAGAAGAGGACCATACAAATCACTTGCGACAGGTTTTACAAATTCTTTGTGATCATAAGATGTATGCAAAGTTCTCTAAATGTGAGTTTTGGTTAAAATTTGTGGCATTCTTAGTTCATATTGTATCCGATAAAGAAATAAGGGTTGATAACCAGAGGATAGAAGCCGTGAAAAATTGGCCAAGACCTACAACGCCTACGGAGATCCGTAGTTTTCTTGGATTTGCAGGTTATTCTAGAAGATTCGTTGAAGGATTCTCTTCCATTGCTGCAGCCTTAACAAAACTAACACACAAAGAAACCAGGTTTCAGTGGAGTGATGAATGTGA